GGGCTCTAGAGATGGCTCAGAAGTTAACAGACTGATTGCCCAGAAGACCCGCGGACCCGAGCTCAGTTCCCAGCAAGCAAGCCAGATGCCTCATTACTACCTATAACTCCAGCTCCAGTGGCATGTGATCGCCTCTTCTGGCCTCTTAAGGGCACCCGAACATAATCACTCTAGTGTGGGTAATCTGATGGAGTTAGTCAAAAGATGAGCATTACAGCTCTTTGTCCACCTGTGATTAAGTCCGTCCTGCCTTTGTCTGTCCCTCCCCATCCAGAGTTCCTTGGTTAAGGGGAACCCAATCATCTATATACCACCTATATGGACTTAATATTTGCCTTTTTGATTCAAATATAAAATCCAAAACAATGAAACTTGATACTCATTTTGAATTTCTAATGCTATTCCAAGAACGGGAATTGTGTGAGGGCATTGACTATGGAACGGCATTACACTTTTGCACGTCTAGGTAATACGTGTACTGACATTTATTATATGATTTTTTTCTGTAGATTAGTTTTCAACTTCTATGCATGTTCTTTACATGGTCCCTGTAGACCACTATTTAAAGCAGATATGGAACGATTTCAGGGCCTTGACAATGAGGTAAGAGATTTTTCTGGATTTGGGGCTTAACCTTGAAATCATGAGAGACACATGCCTAGTATATAAATATGAATTGAAACTAATGATGGTCCCAGAGGAGAAGAAACAGAAATAAGGCTTAGAAGGTTTCCTTTTATAAGACAATAGTAAGCCACATGCCCTAAAAAATTTTTAAAAAAACTACCAAATGACCACTCCTTCATGAGCAATGGCTTTAAGCCTGCAAGAGAAAGTACAAACAAGTGAAAATAAAGAAGGACGCCCCAGAGTTGATATCTCTGGAGAATGAGAGAAATGGCTGAAGAAGCCACCTAAGAAAGTACTCTGAACCCAAAACCACAGATGTTCCCACCTCGTCTAATCTGGACTGGAGCTGGGAACACTCGTAGGAAGATGTCTGCAGACACTGTAACACTAGACCTTCTTCACAGTGGGAACCACAGAGCCCTAACACCTGAGTTCATCCCTACACCACCTCTAACAGCCTTGGTCAAAACAGCTGACAACTTGGAGCTTCAACTTTCCTTTGTGTGTACAATGGAATGCACATCAGCCCTAGACCCCTGAGCAAGCATTCCTGAACAGATCTAGGAGTCTAACATTTTTATGTAAGTGAGCTATTCTGCAAACATTTCACTAATACTATCACTGGAGTTACTGTTGTGAGTTCGTTAATGTGGGGTAAGACGTGGAAAATATTTTTACATCGCTGATCTGTCCAATAAAAAATGTACACTGTATATTAACTCCTCGACAAGAACTCAGACTACAGACTGAGGCTGGTACTCCACTGTCAATGATAAACTGTTTTATCAGGATGTCCAAATCAACGCTCTCCACCCCATGAAACTGAAGGAAGGTAAAATCTGTTGCCTTCTTTAAGTGACAAAAATATTGTTTATAATGTTTCGTTGAGGAGACTTTTGATGCGTACAAAATTAATTGCTTAATAAAAAGAATGTCCTGTAACCTTTTATGCACTATTTCTCAAAACATTCTGAATTTTCTAATGAACAGGGTGTCTCCTGAGGGAGGGTGAGGGCCGTCTCAAATTAAGGGCATTAAAAGATCTCTCTAATGGATAAACCCAAGCAGGTTAAGAAAAGTGTTTTAACACTAACTGCCCCCAACTGCTATCTCTGGAGGATGGAGCTGGTAGTGCTGAGTGCGGGGGGGAGGGGCT